ACTCTGACATGCCTCTCCCCCACCCCTATTACTACAGTCATTGAGTCAATCCATCTCATCCATGGTTGTCTTCTCCTGTGCTGACCTTCTACCATTCCAAGCATGATGTCTTTCTCCATGGATTGATCCCCTCTGGATAACATGCCCAAAGTATGTGAGACAGAGTTTCAAAATCCTTGCCTCCAAGAAGCAACCTGGTTTCACCCTCTCCAGGACATATCTCTTTGTTGGTCATGGGTGTGCCCAGGGATTTCCTGGGTGTTCCTCAGCCATGCCACCTCACCAGTATCTGTGTCCTAGATTCATGGGACTGTGAGTTGGGGTAAAGTTGTGACCGTGGTGAAGCCACTGGCTGCAGTTTTTGCACAGCAAGGGAGTACTCTATGAGAACAGTAATATGCAAGTCCCCATCCCTTGCATATTTGCAGACCTCTTCAGTCTCAAACGAAAAAAATGGCTTTATTGACTTTCCACCTTTGCATCGGCTTGGGAGCTTACCTTCACCAGGCTCTCTGTATGGTTGGTGTTGGCCTGCTTGTTGTGGGAGAAGGTTACCAATAATTCAGATGGAAGTTTTCTAGAGCAGTGGGTATATGACGTCCTGTCCCCCCAATGGTGGTCACCCAATGCAGGTAGATCTGGTCTCTTTTCCCCCCTTTTCCTTTATGTGGGACGTGAGCCTGGACTGGGCCAGCAGTACAGAAAAGCTGTATCCATCCATTTGGTCCTTATTCGTGTTTTCACTCTTTATATTTGACTTTGTTTTTTAAATAGGTTTCCCCAAATTTCAGGGTACTTGTTGTTCATGAGTGGGATTCCTCATTTTCTGGGGCCTAACCCCATCATCCATCAGGGTAGGAAAACTTTCACCGTTGAGGCTGGATGAAGAAGGGGCCACTGCTCTTGGTATAACTTGGCTTTTGACTAATAGCTTAAATGATTATAGAATTAATAGTAAAACTTCTCTTTCTTTATCTATTATATTTATTGTTCATAATATAGAAAGACCTGGTAACTGGAAAAGGATAGCATTCAGCTGCCTGTCACTACAGAACAATTGAGAAGAGACAAGTATTGAATCTTTCAAATGCACTTTATTCAGATGCCAGCCATCAGAGAGAAAACAAGAAGGCTTGCTATTCTTAAAAACGGGATAAATTGTGTATACTGCATTGAAACAGATGATGTTGTTGTTGTTATGTGCCGTCGAGTCATTTGTGACTCATAGCGACCCTATGCACAACAGCCCTAAACCCTGCTCTATCCTGCGCCAACCGCACCGCCTCTGACACACCCATCCCGATTACCCCAGTCAC